AAAAAAAAAAAAAAAAAAAAAACATAACTAAATGCAATGTGTGAATCCAAACCAACTGCAGCAAAAAATCTGGATATGGACTGAAATTTAGTTACTAGTAAAAATGGCACTGTGATGGTTTTTTATTTTTTTTATTTTTTTATTTTTTGGTTTTTTGAGACAGGATCTCACTATGTAGTTGAGACTGGCCTGGAACTATGTAGCTCAGGCTGGTCTCGAACTCCTAGTGATCCTCCTGCCTCAGCCTTCCGAGTGCTGGGATTACAGGTGTGCACCACCACGCCCGGCATGATATTTATTTTTAATTCTCCCTCCTTGTTGTCCCCCTCCCTCCCCTTCTTGATTTTGCCTGCATCCTGTCTTCTTCCCTGTCCCACCCTCAGGACTAGGGCTCAAACCTAGGGAAACCCTGTCATGCAGCTACATTTCCTGCCCTTTTTATATTTTGAGACAGGGTCTCGCTAAGTTGCCCAGCTGGCCTCAAAGTTTTGCTATTCCTGCTTCAGCCTCTCAAGTAACTGGGATGACAAGTATGTGCCTGGATCAAAAATCTCATCTGTTAACGATGAACACTGCAGCTCATTCAGGTATATGGGGGGAGGGGGATACCTGGGGTTTATAGATACTCTAGCCAAAATTTACAATGAGAGAGGTCATGAAAAAGATTGGCAACATGTTGATAACTGTTCATGGTATTAGTCTCTCTACTTAAGCATGTCTGAATGTTTCTTTAATACAATTTTTTTTTTTTTGGTACTGGAGATCTAACTCAAGACCTTGTGCTTGCGAGGCAGGCACAGCACCACTGAGCTAAATCCCCAGATTATTTTTTAAATAAAATTTTAAAAAGCAATATATTCTTATTAAAACATAAAACTCCCTAAGGAGAAAATCTCACGGAGGAGCAAAAGGAAAGAAGCCTGAGTGGGAATAGGGCCTCAGAATGAAAGCATCAGCCTACCAATAGGGCTTCCCTTATGGTACCAGAGCTGTTTCTTTTCCCCTAAAAGGATCTTCATTAAGTCAGAGCTTAAACAGAGCCTGAACATAGATCCCACGTATGGACTACACGTTCATTACCTCAACAGTAAGTATTTGAGCACCAATATATGCCGAGCCACATACAACAAACAGTGACCATTAAGATGCACAGTCTGTACAATCAGGAATAGTGGTATGAGCCTACAGACCCAGCTACTCAGGAAGCTAAGGCAGGAGGATTGGTTAAGTCTGGCAGCAAGACCCCATCTTTTTTTTTTTTTTTTTTTTGGTGGTACCAGAGATTGAACTCAGGACCTTACACTTGTGAGGCAGGCACAGTGCCACTGAGCTAAATCCTCGGCAAGACCCCATCTTAAACAAAAATATAAAAACATAAAGACTCAGAAGAAAAACACCTAATTAGTTATCATTAAACCCCTAAGGCCAGGGATTTAGCTCAGTGGTTTTGCAGCCTGCCTTGCAAGAACAAGGGGCCAAGTTCAATTCCTGGTACAAAACAAAAGCAAAAAAACCCTAAGCAGCATCCTCATGTAGGAGAGCTGCTATCAGTACTTATTCTGAGCTCTAAAGATTCTCAGGATGAGATGCTAGGATGGGACGAGGGAAAAGGACAGAAAATAACTATGTGTCCACCATTAGGTCATCTACCACAAAATCAAGAGATACAACATTCCAATCAGTTGTGCTTTATAAATTTAAAAATCCAGAATACAGGCTCAAGTCACTTGGTCAACTGGGGGGGGTGGGAGGGGCTAAGCTAGTCTTCTGATTCACACATTCATGAAAAAATTCTACACAAAGAATTAAGCAGTGGACCGGGGATTTAGCTCAATGGTTCCGCCGCCTGCCTCACAAGTGCAAGGAACCAAGTTCGATTCCTGGTACCAAAAAAAACCTAAAAACAGTTTGAGGCCAGCCTTGGCAACTTCGTGAGCCCTTGTCTCCAAATTTAAAAAAAAATTTTAAAGACTGTAGCTCAGTTGAGAACCCCTGGGTTCATTTCCCAATACTCTGAAGTAGGGGGAGAGGGAACGGGAGAGACAGACAGACAGAAGAAAGCCCTGAGCATAAAATCCAAGACTATCAAGTGTTTGAAGAAAAAATAAAATATATATCTAATTTGGAGGAGACAGTTTTGTCATACAAGAGCTAGAAATGAAAAGGTTGTTAGATCTAATCTAACACTATCACAATTAGCAACTATGACATGACCAAAATACCACAAAGTAAATTTTAAAGGCAAGAATTAAAAAAAGAAAAGTTCTTGCCCTCTGGGAATAATAACCCTAAAAGAAACTCGGGGTCCAGAGATCTGTCTTAGTCCCAGCTCAGCAAGCAAGGAGATGACTCTGGAATTGATGAATTGCTTCTCTTGGCTGGAAAAACACTGAAACAATCTTCTCCTAATTTTGAAATAATACTTCATGGCAAATGAAACAGCTAATCCAAAGAGTCTGAAAAGAGAACCTCTGATGATCTACACAGCAATGCTTCCTTTTGGCCAACTGCCAATTTAAAACATTCTCAAGGTTGACATCATAAAGGTCCCAGTTGAACTTCAGGTTTTCCTAAACGATTTTTATGTGCACCCCCCAAGTGAACCTGGCAGAAAACCTGTAGGTGGCGAGGCGCTGAGCCCAGGACGGGCCAGGCAACCTGAACACTTGAGCATCATAAGCATCGTAATCTACTTGGATGGGAAGAGCATTCTCAGATTCTTTCGGAGTCCCAAGAGCTGAAACACACAAACATTACAAACTGTCATCCAAACTCATTTTAAATGTTTTCAGAGGATCATCATCAAAATCTGTAAGAAACAGATATTCACCTACCAATAAGAAATGGAACGGACAATCAATGTCATTATATTGTATACATTAAATTTACCGATAAATTTTTTTTAAAAGGAAAATATGGTAAATATACATAATGGAATACTATTCAACCATAAAAAATGGAATGGAATAATAAACCATTGATTAGGTTGTTGAGATTAATGAATTATTTGTCAAAGTAACAGAAATAGTGTAGCACTACATAAAGGTAAGAGTTAGTAATATTTCACTCTTCTGTAGTCCCTCTTTAAAAATATCTTTATATGTTTAGTGCTCTAAAACTTTCTACCTAAGCCCTACAACTGACCTATGGAAGGAAACAAAAAAACAAAAAAACAAAAAAAACATTTTTACCATCATGCAACCAGTAGTTGACAGAAATACAAAGTGAGTAAAGGGCTTTCCCCAAATGACACAAAAGGAACTCAGGTCTCCTGGCTTTTCTGTGAATCTTTTTAAGTGATCTCAAGCAATTCTATTGCCAGGAGTGAGGTAATTCTTTTTAAAGTAATAAACAATCTCTTGACTTTTTCATTTTGCCCAAGGTTAAAACTAGACCTGCATCTTTCACCATGCACTAAACTAATATTGAAATAGATTAAAGATCTAAATATTAAAACAGAAAGGGCTGGGGACTTGGCTCAGTGTCTGTCGCCTGCCCTGTAGTGCAAGGACCGGAGTTTGATCCCCAGTACCAAAACTAAATAAATAAATATTAAAACAAAAACACCAAGCAGGCTGGAAAAGAGATTAGGTAGAATCCTTGAAGACACTGGCGTAGGAAAAGATTTCATGAACACAACCTCAGTTGCACGTGAACTAGCAAAAACAATCAACAAGTGGATCTCTTATTAAAAAGCTTCTGCACAGCAAGAACAACCACCAACAGAGTGAAGAAACAACCCACAATGTTGGAAAAAATGTTTGCCAGCTGTTCCTCAGACCAAGGTCTACTATCTAGAATATATAAAGAACTTAAAAAAATCAGATCTCCCAAATTTAAAGACTCAATCCAAAAATGGACATCTGAAAGGAACAGACATTTCTCAGACAAAGAAGTAGAAATAGGCAGGGGGTTTAGCTCAGAGGTGCCACTGCCTGCCTTACAAGTGCAAGGACCCCAGTTAAGTGGAAACAGCAAATCAATATATGAGAAAAATGTTCAACATCACTGGTTACTCCAGAAATGCAAATGAAAACACTGAGATTCTACCTTACCCCGGAAAGAATTAGCTGCTATCATGAAATCAGCCAATAACAAATACTGGGTGTGGGGAAAAGGGAACCCTGCTCCACTACTGGTGGGAATGCAGATGGGTGCAAATACTGTGGACGGAGATACCTTAAAGAACTAAGATTAAAGGTCCCATCTGACCCAGCTATTGCCCTACTGGGTACTTTCCAAAAGAATTTTAAAAATCACACCACAGGGATATATGTGCACCCATGTTCATAGCAGCACAGTTTGTAATAACTAAAACTTGGAAATGGCCCAATTCCCATCAACTAAAGACTGGATAAAGGAAATCTGTTTTTTTTTTAAATAAAATGAAATACTACTCAGCCATAAAGAATGATAAATTAGAGATATTTATAGCTAAATTGATACACATTGAGGTGACACTCTTAAGTGAAATAAATAAGACACATGTAAATAACAAATTTTTTTTTTTTTTTTTTTTGGTACCAGGGATCAAACTCTGGTCCTTGTGCTTGCGAGGCAGGCAGCAGAACCACTGAGCTAAATCCCTGGCCCAATACCAAATAGTTTCTCTGGTGTAAGAAACTGAAAGTATAAATAAGGACCAAAAGGCATAATAGATAATGTGAAATAGGAAGAAAAGGGGCAAAGGGGAAGGGGAAATGGGGGTAGGGGAAAGAAAAGAAGGGAATGGAATCAATATGAGAAAATGAAAAAATGGAAACAAAGTCTTTGTAAACAGGGAGAGATGGAGGGTTGAAGAGAGGGCAGGGGAATGGAGAAAAAAAATAAGAACCAAGATAGATTATGTAAAGGTGCAAATTTCCAATGATGACTGTCGTTATATTGAATACCTAAAATGTACACAATTATTTTTTTAAAGGGGGGAAGGAGAAGTGGGAGGAGTAAGGGAAAGGAAAGGAGGGAATGGAATTAAAATGAGAAAGAAAAACAATGGAAACAAAGTCTTTGTAAATAGGGAGGAGTGGAGGGGTTGAAGGAGGAAAACATAAGAACCAAGATAGATTATGTAAAGGTACAAATTTCCAACGATATCATTATACTGTACACCTAAAATGTATCAATTAAAAAAAAAGATCTCAAAATATACTCACATGTATCACGGCCAATTTTTGCTTTCTCAGAGGCAGGCTATAAAATTAAATAGATATTAAATTACTCTTTTCTCTGCTAGAACTCAAGCACAATGTCCTGTATACACACAACTGCTTCCCAAGACCAAGACTGTCTTAACTCTCCCTGCAACTGATGAAAAAACAAGAGGTAACATCCGACACCTGCCTACTGCAGCGTCACAGTCTGCTAGGTCTTTTCCTTATCCCTCACAGCTCATTTATTCTCACAGTCCTATCCAGTGGGGGCATGAACTCCACTTCACAGGACAAGATGTTCAATTCTACAGAGGATAAAGGATGCGCCCATAGCTGCATCATTAGCAGGAGGCAGAAGCAAAATCCAAGTCCAGATTTTCAGACTCTTGGTCAGTCCACAACTCGGTTGATCTACTTGGTCAATTCATGTGTATTCTACCACGGCTGGATCCCACTTGACCCACACCCTATACCCTTCCTCCTCTATAGCACTGGCACTGATTTGTCTATATGTGCCAGAGTTGAGCACACGGTAAGTCATTCCAATTTGCTGAAATGGAGTACAAAGGTGGAGGGAAAAAACTGACAGAGGCATCACTTTAAATTTTTTTCTTAATAAATATTTTCCAGGACTCTCAAGCCTCCCAAAATAGTAATTATTTTTACTTTTAAATTTATTGAGGGGGCTTGAGGCAGGCGGGTATGGGATAAAATTAAATTTAAAAAAATTTTTTAGTAAAATTATCAAACTGCAAAGAAGTTGCTCCATGTTCCACTTTGCTGAGAATGTTTGTATGAAGGCATAAAACCTTAGAAGACCATTTCCAGTAAGAATCCCATCTCTCAGCACCTTATCACTTGAGATGGCCCAGTAGGAGTTCTCATATCCCTCCAAATGAATACCTTACTTAATAAAAGAGTAACATTAAAGGGGAAGGGGAAAGGAGGGAGATTAAAAGAAAGGAAGGGGAGTGAAGAAAGAAAAGGAAGAAGGAAAGAAAGGACTAAAGGAAAGAAAGGGAGGGAAGGTGAGAGGGAGCCAGGGATGAAAGAAGGAAAGAGGGAAGAGAGGGGAAAGGAAGGGAATGAAAAGGAAGAGAGGAAAGGAGGAAACCCAGCCACAAATCAGACAATCCTCAGAGAATTCAGCCCCTCTACAAACAGGCAGATATGGGAACGGGTCCTCTGGAGTGGGGCCTAGAAATATAAGAGCCTGTTTTTCTTGTCACACTGTATCAAAAATACTTTTATTGGGTTCTTAAAATGGCATTTTTATTAGTTGCAAATACATTCTATCAATTCATGATTTATTCAATAAATGCTTTATTGTTTTCAACTTTTCGCTGTTAGAGCAGAATCCATTGCATATAATATGTTCAATCATTTCCTTACGCTACATTCCCAAAACTGGAATTACCTAGTAAAACAGGGCAAATATGTACGCTACTTTTTGTTTGTTTGTTAATACTGGGGATGGAACTGAGGGCCTTCACACTGAGCTACAACCTCAGTCCTTTTTTTTTTTCCCCTTTGGTACAGGGGATCGAAATCAAGACCTTGCACTTGCAAGACAGGCGGTGACACCACTGAGCTAAGTCCCCGGCCTACATTACTCCTGATACACGGGCTGAACTGCTTTGCAATTGTGTCTTACATCAACCAGGTACTCAGGTACCAAACAACATGCTTTTTCCAATTTATGTCACAGTTATTTATATATTTTAAATCTATTTGGTAAGCCAAAAAAAAAACAACCCATTCTTTTCTGTCATGCTTGTTTTATTATATTTCCCTTTTGCTACAATATGTATCTGTATCATTGTCTCCACTGAGTGCTCTCATCACTCTGAAGTCACATCATAATAAAATGAATTATTTGTTCCCCTCCCCTTTCTTTTGAGACAGTCTTGTTACATAGTCTATGCTGGCCTCAAACTCATAATCCTCCTGCCTCAGCCTCCTAAGTGCTGGGATTACACAAGTAGTGGATATTTCTTGGAGTCTGGGGTTAGCAGTGCTTTGTTTCTGTGGTGCTGGGGATCGAACTCAGGGTCCTACGCACGCTAGGCAAGCCTTCTTGGAGCTATATACTCTGTCCCTACCCTGTTCTATTTTTATCTATTATAAAAACCACAAAATTCTAAGACAAATTTTTTTAACTCTATTCTTGACCCTGTGGGGAAATAAAAGTACCTCAGAGTCATAATGAAACATACCAGTGTGTGGCAATCTCCAAAGGTTCTGTGAGGTGGTAAAACTTACCTTCCTGCCTGCCAGTTTTATTCGTGGAGTAAAACTGTTACAAAAGAGTTGGCTTTTAGATGTGTAGAAACTGTAAAAAGAATAAATAAACAAGGTTGTTAAACATTAAAGACACAGTTGCACTTCCAAATATAGATCAGCTCTCCTGTGAATGTCTTTAAGTCTTCATTTATCTTTCTAATTCTAACTTCTTTTACGATTACTACAAAATATTAACAGTGTTGGGCCAGGGACGCAGTTCAGTGACACCACGCCTGCCTGGCAAGCATAAGGTCATGAGTTTGATCCCCGGTACCAAAAAAAAAAAAAAAAAAAATTAAATATTAACAATATTTTGAACTATTGTTCTAGTCTTTTTTTCCCATGAACTGCCATGTATGCCCTAGTCCTGCTTCCTAACTGGATAAGAATTCCTTCCTTGTGGCAGAGAGTAAGTCTATTTACAACATGATACTTTTCACATGAATTGAGTGGTTGAATGAATAAGTGAATGAAGACTGTACCTTTTCTATTCCATATAAATCCGTCTGTATTCTTTTATTTATCATTAACTTGCAAATGAGGTTTAGAATGTTAACCAATTCCCACCTCCATTCAAATTTCTAACTATAAACAAAAAAGCGGGGGGGAAATATTAGTAGATAACCAATGGACCATGAGGCAATCTTAGTGGCATATTAGCTACACAGGAACATAAGAATGCCATCTATTGTCCAATAAACCCCTAGGATTTCACCTGCCTACATGGTATCAAAGACAATACTAACTAGAGGCTGTTACTCTCTCCCCAGTCATTAACTATTGATAAAAGTGGTATCAGAAAGAATGGGCTTCTATTAAATTGAATCATAGCCAATTGTTTTTGGGGGGGTTGTTTGTGTTTGTTTGAGAAAGGCTCTTGATATGTACTTCCGAATGGCCTTAAACTTACCATGTAGCCCAGGCTGGCCTCAAAATCCTGGCAATCCTCCTGCCTCCCAATTGATGAGATTATAAGTGTGCTCCACCACACCTTGCTATCCAAATTGCTATTTTTAAGAATGGCAGTCTAATATGATTTCAATTGGCTGAAACTAAAATAGCTGCAACTTTGCAATGAGCTTCCTGTTCAACACTAGGCAACCCACTTAACCTCGCTTGAACTTGTTTTTTCCCAGCATACAATGTGACTGTATGATCTATAGGACCTCAAAAATCAACTCTAGTCGTACTCTGCCAAATCCCCTAAATTCCAGTTAATTCCTATTAATTTGCTTTATGGATCAATTTTCATTATTAGCCAATATTACTTTGGATGTAATAAGGTCTCATTGAAGACAATGTGATTATGCTAAGTAAGGTTTCTGGCCTTATTCTAATGGAAATTCTTTCCCCACTTCTGAAGAGGCTTTGCTGACAGAAAGAGAACAATAGCTCCTGGGAGCAGCTGTTCATCTCCGTGAGCTTGTTCTGAAAAACTGAAATGTGGAAAGCAGGGCGTGGGCCCTTCCAACTCTCAGACTTAAAAGCCTCTCACATGATTCTATCCTGTACTATTGAAAGTGTGACTACATGCAGATATGTGAAGGGAAAACAGGGTCTGCTGTGGTCACAGACAATATTTCACTAGCTTCCTGGTAAGACAGGGCTATATTCAGAATAGGATTATTATAATGTGACCACATCATCTAGAAAGCTGACCAAACAACTACTCTTTGCTCATCTCCTGGATTTTCACCTGTAAGTAACTTCAGGGAACTAGCAGTAGACTTTATTGATGAGAATATATCCTACACTATAGACACTAGGCCAAAATCAACATTTGTTCGTTCAAGTTGGTCTCCTGTACAAATTTTCAACTAAACAGAAGCCAAAACTGACTGAGCTTGAGCCATAAGCCAACTGGTATGCTCTTCATGAGTCACAGCCTAAGAGAGACAACACAGACAAGGGTAGAATGCTCTGGAAGTACTGAAGAGAAAGCAGCTATTGGCTGTCAGGGGCCAATAGAAAGAATTAATTGAAGAGAGATGCTCGACTGCGCCTTGAAGGACAAACAGACAGGTAGCTGCGAGGGAAGGGCAGGTGAAAAGATCTCTAGGCACAAAGGCCCAGAAGTGAGGGTGAGATGCACCATGCAAGAAAGAAGGCAAGTGGTGGGAGAAGAGGCTAAAGATTTAAGCACTTTAGTCTATCCAGTTGGCATGAGCAATGGAAGAAAAAAAAGCAGTATGATTTTTTTAAATGACCTTGAGGCCAAGCATAGGGGCACACATCTATAATTTAGCATTTAGAAGCCTGAAGCAGGAGGTTCATGAGTATGAGGCCCACTTGGATTGATTAAGGCAATGTCTCAAAAAAACAAACAAACAAACAAACAAACAAAAGACCAACTGTAGTGGTACATGCTTATAATCCCAGCTACTTGAAAGGCTAAAGCAAGAGGATCACAAATTCAAGGGAAGCCTGGACAGCTAAGTGAGACCTTGCCTCAAAATAAAATCAAGGGGTGGAACATGCCTATAATCCCAGCAATACAGGAAGCTAAGGCAAGAGAAATAAAAGTTTGAGCCCAGCATAGGCAACTTAATGATGTAATGAGATCCCATCTCAAAATAAAAATTTTGATTGACTGATTTTTTTGAGAAAGGGTCTTGCTACATAGTTCAGGCTGGCCCTAAACTCACTACGTAGCTCAGGCTAGCCTCAATCCTTGTGGTAATCCTTCTGCTTCAGCCTTCCTAGTGCTGGGATCACAGGAATGTGCCACCACATCCAGCTTAATTTTTTTTTTTTTTTTTTTTTTTTAAGGCTAGGGATATAGCCCAGTGCAAAGGTCCTAGGTTGAATCCCCAGTACCAGGGGTAGAATACTTACATAGCATGCACAAGGTTTAAACTCTATTAACAACAACAACAAATAGGCCGAGTGTGGTCATCCCAAGCTATAATCAACAGGAACAGTGAGACTGTGTCCCACATGGAAAAGGCAGGGGGGAATTTTCTATAAACAGAGGAAGCCAAGCACAAAGCCAGTTGCAAAATTCACTTTGGAACAGTAGTAGAAATAAGACCTTCAAAATATGAGTTTGTTTGTGTTTCTTCTCTGTCACCATTGATAATTCCTACATTACTGCCTTTTTTTGAACCGAGGGGGGCCTTTGCCCTGAGCTCTATCCCAAGTCAGTTTTTATTTTTCAATTTGAGACAAGACCTGGCTGAGTATCCCAAGCTGAAGTTGAACTTGCAATCCTGCCTCAGCCTCTCACAGCGCCAGGGCTACAGAGTGCTGCCACCACACCTAGCTTGCTTTGCATGAGAAGGAGCTTTAAGCAAATGTTAGAACATCAGCTTCCATAGTCTCTTTTGTGCTGCTGAGGATCAAACCCAGGGTTAGAAGATTTAAAAGAAAAATAGCAAGGAAGCCCTTTGAAACCCTTACTACCTACTAATGCACAAAATCACCCACCTGTGGTTTATCCAGTGAGGAATATTATAGTCATCACCCAGGCGAGAATCCCGAGGAGCATTCCGATTGTGCAGCTGCAAGGGAAAAAGCCAACACAGATAAGGTAGAAAGCAAAGTAGGGTGTGGAACCGCTCCCATTTATTTTGAGTTTAATTATTCTCCAACACGCCTTTAGGAAGCAAATCCAAAATCTAATTACCTTGAACAGTGGAACAGCATGTAGTGGTTGCTCTCCCATGCACACCAAGTCCACACCAATTCCTAAACAGAAAACACAAAAAAAGAGTTGTCAGGGAAGCAGCAAACATGAGCACCTCAGTCCATTAATGGTATGATTTAACATGGTATGCGGCAAAGCCAAATTAGTATCCTACAACTTATGACTTTACAGTGTTGCCCACACAGCAAGGAAGTAAACAGATGCATTCTGTTTATTTTCTTCTTATTGAATCCCACCATGTCTGCCACTATTTGGTGTTTGGCAGTTAAGCCTTTGAGTACCCTGCAGGTCATGATTTGTGAAAAAAAAGACAACCAGGGTTCCACTATTCAGGTTTCAAGGCCAAGAAGTAAAAGGAACCTTATAATCTCAGTAAAACAGAAAATAATGCAAATCACTTGACAGGACTATCTTATTGGCCATCAGGATTTACTTTCCCAACCCAACAGTGCTGGTGAAACACACATAAAAGGGGTGGGGGCGGGGGCAGATACATGAGGCCAAGCGGAAGAAGCACGGTACATCGCAGAGGAAGGGTTAGGCTAGATGGGCCGATGATGTTCCCCAAGATGGGCTGATGGTATACTAACTAGTCCCTTGAAACAGTGCCCCCAGACAAGGGTCTCTAGTGCCAAAAATGCTTGGAACTGCAAAACACCAGATACTTTAGGGATAAAGATGATACATTACCATGTTAAAAACTGAGGAAAACCTGCAACTATAGAACATGCTTAACTGTGGCTAGCCCAGCATTTTTCAAAAATGATGCAACAGTGGAACTCTTTTGGTTACTCAACTTCTATGGACATCCCCAGCTCTCCTGACGCACAGAGGAGCTTGGTGGAGGTCCTCCTCTAAGAAATCAGGGAATCTCAGAGTTCTCAGGGTAAGTAAGGCCATGAACACACAGACACGAAGCACAAACCCAGGGAGTGTTACCATTATCTATCATCCGCTGCTTGGTCAGTATCATGAGTAAGCGGTCCACTTCAAAGACACCCACCCCAGGTGTGATCACCACAGACATCTGCCCAGTTCGGTCAAAGTTGCGGTTGATGTAGTGCTTGTCAAACACTTAAAACAAAACAAAAATTCCTCCATCATGACACGACAGCTTTTCAGAAACCAGCTACTGATAACTATATCTGTGCTTTCAGAGTATTTTGATCATAGCAACTGCCATACTTTCCCAATTCTAGCTGTTGGTGTTTACATCCATCTTTCCTTTTCTACATTAACAAGTGCTTCAACATAGGACTGAGTCACTGTCACCGTTATCAAGTTCCCTCACTGACTGATGCCTTATACTTGCCTTGTACAGCCTTACTCAAATTTAATGCCATAAATTTAAATCAGGGCTAGGGATTTAGTACAGTGGTTCCGCCGCCTGCCTCACAAGCACAAGGACCGAGTTTGATCCCCAGTACTAAAAAAAAATTAAAAATTAAAAATAAGTAAATTTAAATCATTCACCAATGAGTGTATTGAAACTTCTAAGAATCAAATATTAATTTAAGACAACATTTAAGAGAATGCACCAGAAATACAGGACTACTTTGCCAAGTTAGTAAGTTATTTCTGGCTTCCACAATTTGTACTATGGAAAATCAGTAACATTCAAACACAACAAAAAGAACTCCTAATAAAACATACAATGCTCTAGAATTCCCCAGTCCCTGGGTATAGATGCATGGGAAAATGATACATGGAAATGAAGTAAAGACACATCATCACTTCCACCACTGGCTAGGGCTGGGCTGACACAAACCTGGAGCTGGGCCCATCAGATTCTATTGGAAAGTGGAATTCTAAACAAAGAGCACAGATAGGGCTGCTGGGGAGCTGAATGTGGCTCCAATAATTTGCACTACTATGTTTGTCAGAGACACTGGGGTTCCCACCTTCTCCAACAAGACATTTGGGCTTCTCCTAGCTGCCCTACTAAGCCCCTAGATCCTTAACAATAAATTTCCTTTTTTGTTTAAATTAACTCAGTAGTTTTCTGTTACTGACAAATAAAGTATCCCAGCTATTACATAATGGGAATAGTAAACATTAAGAAGCTGGGCCGGGTGTGGTGGCGCACACCTGTAATCCCAGCACTCAGGAGGCTGAGGCAGGAGGATCGCTGTGAGTTCAAGACCAGCCTGGGCTACACAGTGAGTTCCAGGTCAGTCTCACTACATAGTGAGACCCTGTCTCAAAAAACAAAAACAAAAGAAGCTAAATAACTCTGTTAACAATGGATCCTCCTACAAGAGGACTCGTGGATGGAGGTCCCTTTTTGGAGGGGTAATCGGGTATCAAACTCAGGACCTTGTGCTTGCCAGGAAGCAGCAGCACCACTGAGCTACATCCCCAGTCCCATATTACTTTCTATATTTGAATTCGAGGAACATGAGTTACTTTTGTAATTTTTAAAAGTAATTTGTTGTTGTTGCTATTATTTAATTACGTAGCAGCAGTTCAGGGGTAAGGTTGAAAAGAAGAACAGTTTGTACCAAGTGAGATTCCCTCCAGCTCTTTATCATGAGAAACATATGAGAACACCAAGTTAATTTTCCAGCAGAGGACCCTAGAGCTAAATGCGGCTTATTAAGGCCACTGAACCAGAAGTTACTTTGAATCTGAGGAAAAGGCAGGCAGGAACATCATCAACTAGGTCTGGGTTCTTGGGCATCAGTATAGAGAAGTCCATGGCTAGGTGGTAAACAAGATGCCAGCTCACCACACTGGCATCATTACTCACCATTGAATGACAAATTGATGGCCTCTAGGTAGTTTCCTTGTGCTGAGGTAGAATTGTTTCCTTGAGGAAAGCCCTCTGAAGTAAAAGATACAAGGGAAGGAAAACATCTCATGAAAGATGAACTCTTAAAAACAAAGTACAGCAACAACAACAGCAAAAATTATCTGGGTATAGTGGCGCATGTTTGTAATTCCTGCACTCCAGAGGAGGAAGCAGGAGGATGGCCTCAAGTTTGGGCCCAGCTTGGGCTGCATAGTGAGTTCAAAGCCAGCCCACACTACAAAGCACGACCCTGTCTCAAAAAACAAAACAACAACAAAATATATATATAAGGCAGAAAATATCTGGTTTCACAAAGAACCCTCAACATACACACCCTGTTAGATACATTATCAAGCTTATTGTATCCATAATGAACAAACAGATTGCATGGAAACAAGAAACTCAAACCAGGCATGATGGCACATGACTGTATTCTCCCACTTGGGAAACTGAAGCAGGAGGATTGCTGCAAATTTGAGGCCAATCTGGGCTATAAAATGAGATCAAGGCCAGCTTGAACTACATAGTGAGACAAAAAACAATTTAAAGCCGGGAGTGGTGGCACACGCCTGTAATCCCAGAACCTGAGAGGCTGAGGCAGGAGGATTGCTGTGAGTTCGAGACCAGCCTGGGCTACATAGTGAGTTCCAGGTCAGTCTCAACTACATAGTGAGAACCTGTCTCAAAAAACAAAAACCAATTTAGCTCAGTGGTTCCACCACCTGTCTCACAAGCGCAAGGTCCTGAGTTTGATCCCCAGTACCAAAGAAATAAATAAATAAAAACACAAAATAAACAAACAAAAACAGAAAGAAACCCAACCAGAAGCAGAAAACTACAAATGGTTAAGCATGAATCTCTCCTCTCACTCCAGCCTCTATCCTGTACCTCCTTTCCCAGCCATACCTTCAATTACAGAGATGCAGTACCTGCCTGTTCCAGTCGCACCAACACTGGATACTGGATGAAGAGCTTTTTAATGGTCACGAGGAGTGAAGTCCACTCTTCCCTTCGCTCATTCTGCACCACCACTCTGAAAGAAGTATCACCATAAAACAGACACTCAGCAGCAGGTCCCTTACAAAATCTCAAAAAAAGAGGACTACGGGATTCCCAGTGTTAGGAATTTTTTTAATGAATTTTTTTTACAACAAAAAAAATTGCAATAAAAATTGGAAGGTTTAAATACAATGGTCCTGGATTGGATCCTAGAACAAAAAAAAGTACCTAAGTGGAAAAACTGGTGAAATCACAAAAAGACTGAAGTTTGTTAATAGTGATGTTCCAATGCGAATAGCCTAGTTTTGGCAAATGTAACTTGGTTATGAAATGTTAATATCAGATGAAACTATGTAAAGGTATATAGGAAGTCTCTATCCTATACTATCTGCCATCTGCAACTAAATTATTCCAAAATTAAAAGTTTCAGTTTTTGAGGTTTTCTTTTGGAGGGGGAGGGTTAAACTAGGAAAGGAATGACTTTATAAGTAAATGACAAGTTTAATAATTTTTTTTTTTTTTTGTGGGTTCTGGGGATCCAACTCGGGTCCTTGCGCTTGTGAGGCAGGTGGCAGAACCACTGAGCTAAATCCTTGGCCCTGTAATTATAAGTAAATGAAAGATACAGTGAGGCACCCAAACATACTTGTAAAAGTCTTCATAGAATTGCCCTTTGTGATCCTGTCGAATTGAGGCTCGGTTTATCTCAGGAAATTCATCTGTAATAGAAAAAAAGAGGTACATAGATCAGATAGAAAAAAGAAATGTATATAAAGTATAGTGTAATTCATTATGAAGAAGAATGAATAAATAATATGTTCTTTTATATCTGACACCTGGATTTGTATTTTGTAGTTATTATATTGCTGCATTTAATCTGTTTTTTGGCTGTTTTATTTTAAAGTAAATTAGAAATATCATAACATTTTATCCCTATGCAAAAACAAAAAATATAATAGAACAGATAGAAAAAAGAAATGTAGTCTTGATGACTACCTCTTCTGAACTGAAGAACAGCATCACAAAAAATAAAGATAATTGTTTATCTATTAAGTTGGTTTTAGAAGGATCACAGCCGACAGACCTCTTACAACCTCTACTTTTTTTCCCCCTGGTACAAGGCTCAAACTCAGGACCTTACACTTGCCAGGCAGGTGTGGTGCCACTGAGCTACATCTCTGGCCAACAACCTCTAATAGATCATGCTACTTTCTATAATACCCTGTCTCCATAAGAAAGGTGGGAAAACGAACAGTTTGAAGGGAAAGAAGGGGAAAAGAAATAGCTGGGGAAGGAAATGGAGGTCACTTAATGAAATATAACTGTAGGGCCTGGCATGGTGGCACACGCCTGTAATCCCAGCTCTCAGGAGGCTGAGGCAGGAGGATCGCTGTGAGTTTGAGACCAGCCTGGGCTACATAGTGAGTTCAGGTCAGTCTCAACTACATAGTGAGACCCTGTCTCAAAAAAAAAAAAAAAGAAAAGAAATATAACTGTAGGGGCCAGGGATTAGCTCAGTGGTTTCACCACCTGCCTTGCAAGTATAAGGTCCCAAGTTCGATCCCCAGTATCAAAAACCAAACAAAATATAACTATAAGAAGCCATGTATGACTGTTGCACACCTATACTTCCAGATATTAGAGAAGCTGAGATAGAAGGATTGCTTGAACCCAGAAGTTAGGGGCCAGCCTGGACAAAACAGTGAGACCCTGTCTCTTAAAAAACTGCAGGAGAAAGAAAATTACTCACCAATAGATTTTGCATCATAGAAAGTTCTAGAAAACAGGACAACTGTCACTTCATGACTACAATTCTTCTCCTAGGCATGAGTAGAGAAAAAGATGGCTCAAGTTGATTTCATTTACTCGATTATGAAGCAGTAGTCCAGTGGACATTAATAGTCAATTCTAGGACGCTCAGTGGCCGTGCACAGTATTGGATAAAAACATGTGATTGCAGGAAGCACAGTACAAGGACAGAGCATTGCTGACAGTCAGAAGACCTGGCTCTGAAACTTACTACATGACCCCGAGAAAGCTACCTAAAGATCCAGGAATGTGCAAAGTGCTTAGAAACTGCAAATAACCAGTAAGTAAGGGTCCCTGTCTCCTAGTTCTTGATTTCTCATAAATCTGATCAGCCCACTGTCGGAGGCTTATGATTTCTGTATCTGTTCTATAGCACTTTTTAACTGCTTCAGAATGGCAGTTTAAAGAAAAAGAGTAACTAACACCCACACTGATGGATTTAAGAGAGTTGCGAGACAGACTAACAATTGAAAATATATTCTTTTTTAAGATCATGATACACAGTATATTTACTATTGTTATTCTCTATTTCTGTTATGAAAAATTATTTTTTCATATAACTTTTTATATTCCTTCATTAATATTTACACTAAAATTTTAAAAAAGAAATGATTCTCCTACACCTTACTAACATCATCACGGAATGAGGATTGGGGCTGCTGGAGATGTAGTGGTATAAGCCAAAGTCACGAATTACCTTTTGGAGGGGGTGAGGAAAATAAACACTCCCATGGAGTCCAGAAATCAATATCCTGGAAGCAGGGCATTTACAGAAGGACATGAATGTGGCTTGCTCCAGTGAGCCGGTAAGCTCAGTTTCAGCTCCTCCTGGGCCCAAACCCACCTCTATACCAACCACACTAACTACACAACTCGGCACTCACCACAGAAGACATAAAACCTAATGTACTATATGTCACCTTATATTCTTTCGTGGATACACCTCAAGCAAACAGAAATTTCCAAATATAAACCACAGTACCAAGACCACAGTGCTAAGAAAGAGCAGATCTTCATTAACTACCAACTAATTTACTGGACTGCAAATTCTCTAAATACAGCATAATTACCCAATTTTGGTATAAGCGATACACAGAAGAAAAATGTATCAAAATGGGGCAGTGAGGGGAGAAGTTGCTCAACTCATACATGATAGAAGAGATAGAGGCATTATCTCTATTCTATGGAAAAACAAACTGAGGCTCAGAGACAATGAATATTTCTCCAACATCAAAGGGAACTTAAAGAGGCTTTGTCTCAAAATAAAAAAATAAAAAAGGCTAGAGATGTAATTCACTTCAAAGGCCTAGGTTTAATCCCAAGTATATAAATAAATAGGCCAGGGATTTAGCTCAGCAGTTCTGCTGCCTGCCTCGCAAGCGCAAGGATCCGAGTTCGATCCCCGGTACCACACAAAAATAAATAAGCAAACAAGACTAACTGTAGCTGGATGTGGTGGTGCGCACCTGTAATGCTAGCAGTCAGGAAGACGCTAAGGCAGGAGGATCACTGCAGGTTTAAGAACATACAACAAGACCCTGTCTCAAAAAACAAAACCTAACTGGAGCACAGCCAATTTATTTTTCTTTCTTTTTTTTTTTTCTTTTGGTTTTTTGGGACAGGGTCTCACTATGTATTTGAGACTGAGCTGAAATTCACTAGTAGCAGGCTGGTTTCATACTCACAGAGATCCTCCTGCCTCAGCCTCCCAAGTGCTGGGATTACAGGCGTGTACCACCACGCCTAGCTACACAGCCATAATTTTAAATCCAGTCTGTTGTAACCTCAAATACTTTTTGATTAGAATGACATTTACCTATGAAATCAAGGTCAGGTAACTGAAATCATTTATGTTAATTGTGGCCCCCAAAATGCAACATAGTTACCAATAGTGACATTTAGTACATTCAAAATGTTCTACAGCCATCTCCGCTATTTAGTTCCAGAATATTTTCATCACCCCAAAGGAAATTCTATATTGAGTAAATAGTCACTCTCCACCCTTCGTCTCTGGCAACCACAAATCTCTTTCATCTCTAAAGATTTTGCATATTAGCTCAGTGGTGCCACTGCCACCTTCCTCGTAATTTGATCAACAGAAACACTTAAATTTTACAGATCTAAAGCCGGGCGTGGTGGCGCACTCCTGTAATCGCAGCACTCGGGAGGCTGAGGCAGGGGGATCACTGTGAGTTCGAGGCCAGCCTGGGCTGCACAGTGAGTTCCAGGTCATTCTCAACTACACAGTGAGACCCTGTCGCAAAAAAAAAAAAAAATTAAAAATCTGCAGGCTGGGTGTGGCAATGCACATCCCAGCACTCAGAAAGCTGACACAAGAAGACTGCCATTAATTGGAGGTCTGCCTGGGCTACATAACAAGTTCAAAGCCAGCCTGAACTACAAAGTGAGACTCTATCTCAAAAATTAAAAAAAAAGAATAAATAAGTAGACATCTGCATTCAGTAATGTTTATGCAAATGAGATTTAGTATGTGAGAAGAAACATACCTTCCACTTGGTAAACAGATCAGCAAGGAAACCATTCACAGCTTTCTCAAAATACAGATCCCCTGAAAAGAAACAATGAAGGAGAAAAGAGTAACTTTATTTTTTGCGATTTCCTTTCTAAATAGAGCAGCAAATGGGAACAAAGTGGTGGGTTCTGCTCTCTCTCTTAAAACATGATCACAAAAGCCCAATGGTACCAAGTAGTTTCCTCCTAGACTTTCTAGCAAGTCACATTTAATATTTGTCTAGATGACTGAAATGTACTGTACCTTCAAAATGAGACAACAATCTAACCTCCAAATATGATTATTCTTATTACAATGCTTAAAATTTATCAGAAGATGATTTGGTAGATGCTGGGCTCTCATGAATTATCATTTGCAGTTCCTGTTCTCCACAAGAGATCTTGCTGAGTCAAAGCAAAAATTAATTTATAATTGTGCTAAACACACATCTAAACTGTTTGTACCATGAGACTGGTGTGACAGGCATAGTATCTGTATCTCATAACAGTTTTATTGTTCTCTCCAAATTATGTCATAATTCTAATATAATGAAAGTTATTTCTGTGAGAGAAAAAGAAAAGATATCAAGGAAAGTGTTTCTATGGTCACTCTAACTTTTCAATCTATACTCAGAGAATAAAGATCTGAGAATTCAGGTTTTTCATTAACACTTCATTGCATTTCCTGGAATTCCCATTCCCTCATAATCCCTCCCTCCCTCCCTCTTGCTCCCCTTTCTCCCCCCCCCCGCTTTTCTCTTTTTATGTATCTCTGCACACACACACACACACACACACACACACACTCACACACAGAGTATATAGAGACTATACTCCAAGACAGAGTCTATCTTAGCACCAGGACATATCTTTAGAGAATGTCAAGAGCTTACTGTAAAATGATACCAACTTGGGAAAAACCAGAAAATTCTCCCCAGTGGCAGTTACAATCAGCACTTAGGGAACAGTACCATAAATATCAAAATCCCACATTTCACAGCTCATCTGAATAAATATGTAAACCATAGCCGATGTAGAACGGAACACCACCTGAAACAAAAACATAATTGCATTAAAAAGCAAGGACGTAGAATGTCAGTTCTGCAAGGTAAAAAGTTCTAAAGATCAATTTCACAGCAGCATAAATATATTTAACATATTGAACTATAACTTTAAAATGGTTCTGGCCTGGGGATTTAGCTCAATGGTTCTGCCACCTGCTTAACAAAAATGGTTCTCCACCGCAATCATGGAAGAATTCTTTTAATTGTGATGCAGCACTTCTAACAGCAAGTTTCTTCTGCGCATTAATTTTTTTCACTGAAGTAGTTACTGAGCTCCTACTCTGAGCCATGTGACACAGATATGATCCCTGCCCTCCTGGATCGTACAGCACAGGATAAGAATATGCAAAATATTGTGACACATAAAAATGTTCCATAAAGATTCACACAAGAAACGCGACACACTGATGGGCATAGTGACACACATGTATAACCCCAGAATCTGGGAGGCTGAGGCAGGAGGATAGCCACAAGATCGAGGCCAGCCTGGGCTACACAGTGAGTTCAAGGCCAGCCTGAACTACATAGTGAGATGCTATCTCATAAAACAAAAAGGAGGAAGAGGAAGGGGAGGGGAAGAGGAGGAGGAAGAAGAGGAAGAGGGAAAGAGGAGGAGGGAGAGAAAAAAAAAGAAAGGGAGGGAAAGGGGGGGAAGGGAAGGAGAGAGAGGAAGAAAACGCGCCAGAGAGAAAAGCAATCAAGTACGCATTCAGGAGAAACACAAGTTCAAGCTCAGCCTGGGTAACAACAAAACCTCTCCCAGTGCCTGGCATTTAGCTCAGTGGTACCACTGCCTACCTCACAAGTGTAAGGTCCCAAGTCCAATCCCTGGTACAAAAAAAAAAAAAAAAAACAAAACCCTCCCCAAAAAAAAAAAAAAAAAAGACAAAACCTCTCTCAAAATTAAAAAAAAAAAAAAAATTACAAATAGTTGGAGAGGTAGCTTCAAATGAAGGTCCTGGGTTCAATATCCAGTGCCCCCCAATCAGCAGAAGGGACAGTGAGGACAGGGAATTCACCTGGGAAAGTCATAGAAACCTCATTATAGAAACAGACTGAACAAAACATGCCAGATGCCGAGGTGCCAGTCTAATACATTACAATTCACATAGTATTTCTTGTATACCCAGCCTGTTTCAAAGAAAAGCGTAAGTGATACTCTGCCCCGAGGGCTTTACCAGAGTCCTTTATTCAGCTCTTCTCGCCTCTGCAAGACTCTGGGGCTTTCAATTCTTTTTTTTTTTTTTTTTTTTTGGTACTGGGCATCGAACCCGGGTTCTTGCGCTTGCGAGGCAGGGAGCAGAACCACTGAGCTAAATCCCCGGCCCTGCAAGGCTCTGGGGTTTGACAGGAAAGCAGAATGAAAAATCTCTCACAATCTTTAGGTAATTAGAAACCTCCTACTTAAAGACAGTAGCTTCTTAAAGACCACTCCAGGCTTTCTATAATCTCTGGAGCATAACAGGGACTCATTAATCCCCTTCCTATGCCAATACACAGACAAAGACTGGGAAAAAACACACTTCTCAAAATGTTCACTCATCTCTGAGTATTGGCTGTTGATTTTGCTTTTTTTTTAACTCTTAAATTTGACATATCTCAAGTAATGTCAGGCTACACTTAACGTTTTTAAAAGATATTCTTGCAAGTGCAAAGACCCGAGTTCAATCTCCGGTACCAAAGAAAAATTAAAAAACAAACAAATAAGACATTCTCTTTTTTTTCTTTTTATTGAGTTTATTGGTACATTTAGGTATACGGTACAGTTATATTCATTAATAGGATCTTGTACCTTTACATGACAGGTCTTGGTTCTCATTTTTTCCCCTTGTCCTTGCCCTCCGTTCACCCCTCCTCCCCTCCCCATTTACAAACACTTTATTTCCATTTATTCATTTTCTCATATTTTTTTCCTTTTCCCTTATTCCCTTTTCCCTACCCTTCCCACTTTCCCTACACCTTTAGCCCTTTACTTCCAATTTCATATTGTTAATTTTTATGCAAAATTATTCTATAGGTAGAAGAGATCAGTGTTGGCCTTTGTATGTAGAAGAGACTGTAAAGAAGCATGAGGGGACTTCGTAAGGGTGATAAACTTGACCACAACAGTATATACATAGGCATTTATCAAAATTCATTAGACTATACAAACAGAATAGTTTTTACTGTGTGCATGAATGTGTTTTATGTATGAAACTGATTTATTAAATTAATTTAAAAGATACTTTTCCAGGGCTGGAGATGTAGCTCAGTGTTAGACCATTTGCCTAGCACGCATGAGGCCCTGGGTTTGATCCCCAGCATCACAAAAGACAAAACAATAAAAAATAATTTTCTGGTCCTTGTTCATACACTCCATACTTACAAAGTCTCTCTTCTCTCTCTCTCTCTCTCTCTCTCTCCCTCTCTCTCTCTCTCTCTCTCTCTATATATATATATATATATACACATATATATATGTACACATATATATATGTATATGTATATAAATATAATAAATTATGTTTTTAGTTATGCCTGTGTCTTAGTTAATTTTCTGTTGCTATAACTAAATATCTGAAACTAGGTAATTTCTGAAGAAAACAAAGATATTTCTCACATTTCTGGAGGCTAAGAAGTCCAAGATCAAGACGAAATATCCGGTAAGGACTTTCCTGCTAGTGGGGACAGGACAATCTCAACTTCGAGGCCAGCTAGAGCAACGTGATGAGACAGTGTCTCAAAATAAAAAGTAAAAAGGGCTGGGGATATAGCTCAGTAGTACAGTGCTTGCAAGGTCCTGGGTTCAATCCCCCATATCACTAAAAAAAAAAGTCTAAAGGCCAGGGATTTAGCTCTGTGGTTCAGCTGCCTGCCTCACAAGTGCAAGGTCCCAAGTTCAATCCCTGGTACCAAAATAAATAAATATCTCAAAAATAAAGTCTACGATTTAGTAGATTTTAGTATATTCACAACATTATGCAACTATTACCACTACCTAACATTAGAGCATTTCCATCACTCCAAAAGAAACTCTCTACCAGGATAAGGATATAGCTCAAAAGCAGGTTTGGGAGAGTGCATGGACAGAAAGGAAAAGGAGAAGAAAAAATTTGGAAACAGAGCTTTTGTAAAGAGGGAAAGGAAGAAAAGTTAAAGGGGGAAGGGAAATGGGAAAAAAAGAAGAATCAAGATATAATACTGTATTATATACAGGTATAAATTCCCTATGATGAATGTGATCAATACGGATGACAAATATGTACTAACAAAAAAATTAAAATGTGAGCTAGGGATTTACCTCAGTGGCACTGAGCCTGTCTGAAAAGCACAAGGTCCTAAGTTCGATCCTCAGTACCAAAAAAAATTAAGATTCAAAAAATATAATAAAATTTAAAAATAATCCCATCTATTCATGAATGGAATTAACATGCAAAAAATATATATATATATACACACATACACTTTTATACTAGAAGGCTTGCCCTGCATGTAGGAAAAGGAGGAGTGCTAGGATTACAGGCTTGTGCCAACACACCCAGCCCAGTTTCCTCATTTTTTAAGTATACTGTTTTGCCTTTCTTTTTTTTTCTATCAAATTCTTTATTTGAATATTTTTCAAAGGTACTGTGAAAATTGGAGTTAATTCTGGTTTGAATGTCTTCTATATTTTAATATTTGTATATACATGTCTAGCTATTTCTACAGTACATATAATGCTGGCATTCTTAATACAGAAATTAGGCTGCTTTTAATTAACTCTTTGAATTAAATAATTATTATGGTACTAAGGACTAAATTTACACAGAGCTATAGCTAAAACCCTGCCCCCCACACCATTGAGACAAAGTCTCAATAAATCACTAAATTACCCAGGATAGGCTTGAATTCATAATCCTTCTAACTGAGCTTTCGAAAGTGCTAGGATTATAGACACATGCTACCACACCCAGTTTAGAATACTTTATTTATTTACTTACTTATTTATTTTTATTTTTTGGTATCAGGATTGAATCTGGGTCCTTCCACTTGTGAGGCAGGTAGCACAACTAAATTCCCAGTCCAAATACTTTTTTATTATAAAAAATTTCAAACATGTTTAAAATTTGAAAAAATACAAAGTAAACACCTACAGCCAGATCCTACACTTAACATGACATTTTTTAAAAATTTTTTTAACATGATATTTGGTTTATCACTTTATCTTTCCATCTATCCCTCCCTTTAGGCATCAATTCACCTTATTTTTTCTACATAAAAATAAGGTGCAGACCAGGGATTTGGCTCAGTGGTTCTGCCACCTGCCTTGCAAGCATAAGGGCCTGAGTTCGATCCCTGGCACCAAAAAATAAAAATAAAAATAGTAAGGTGCATGGCCCAGGATATAGCTCAGTGGTGCTACCACCTGATTCATAAGCACAAGGTCCTGAGTTCAATCCCTGGTACCAAATAATAATAATAATAAGGTGCAAAAATCACTATTCTCTTTTTTCCTATAGTGATAGAGATTGAATCCAGGGCCTCTAACAATTCTAGGCAAGCATTTTGCTACATCCCCAGTCCTATCTGTTTGCCTATCTTTTTATTTATCCATTTATCCATCCATCCCTCTATGTTTAGAGGGATGGCCTCACAAAGTTGTTTCGGCTGGTCTCAAACTTGTGATCCACCTACCTCAGCCTCCTGAGTAGCTGGAATTAGAGGCATGACCCATCACACATGACTTCACTTCCCCTTTCTTAAATTTGCCACTTATGATCTAATTTAATTAATGTCACAAGACACTCTTATCCAAAGTAAAAGTGCCTAGAGACATTAATTAAATTTTATACTGCTCATTTCCTTTCATACACTAAAATCTTGCTCTTCTAATCAGCTTATACGTAGTTTGCTTGCCAAAGGGTCTCACTATGTGATTCAGTTTTGCTTGGAACTCACTCTGTTGTCTAGACTATCCTCAAAGTCGTGATTCTCCTACCTCAGCCAGAGTGCTAGGATTACAGGCATGTGATACTCGCCAGCAGATTATAAATTCCTAACATGGGAGAACATGTCTAAAATTTTATTCAACAAACATTTGAGAGACTACAAAGTGGAAGATCCATATCAGAGAACTCTGAGATTTAAAGGTAAGATGTAGCCAGGTAGAGTCAAGGCATACAAACAGGCTGCTAAACATGACTGCTAACACGTTAAGGTCCAGGGTTCCACAGAGGTACTCCCAGCTTGGGAGGAAGGCTTCCAGAATCAGAGAAGACTAAGACTAGAGCTGACACCTAGATGAGTAGTTTGGGAAAGAGAAAAACCAGGGCCGGGTGGTATTTGCAAAGACATGGAGGTAAGAGAGAACATGGCATGTTTGAGGAATGGGGAATGGTTTACTTGACTAGGACATGGAGGTAAATGGGGACTTTGCACAGGAGAAGTGGTGAACTGAGCTCCATATGTAACTGTCTGCGCTGATTTTCTTACAGATCTAGTGGGCATCTCGCATACGAAGCTTTCTAATTCCCCCAATGTTTCCCATCTCATAAATGGCACCACCATCTAAATAGCTGTTGAATTTTTTTCTTTACTTCTCACTTCCAATCTATCCGCAAGTTGTGTGGACTCTACCCTGAAGTGTACCTCCAATCTGCCAAAATCTCTTCACTGTTATAACTCTCCTTCTAGTCCATACTACCATCCTTTATAGGTCTCCCAACTTGTTTCTTTGCTTGTACTCTTGTCCCTACAAAAAATGCTTTGCAGGGCCGGGGATTTAGCTCAGTGCTTCTGGTGCCTGCCTTGCAAGACCAATGACCCGAGTTCGATCCCTGGTACTAAAAAAAAAAAAAATGCTTTGCATCAAAACCAGAGGGGCTGCAGGAGGTACTAACTGGTGCCTATCAAATATCCAGTCTTTCTGTCATCCTAAGTAGAAGCTGATTCTCTTCTGGGAGGCAAGAGAACCAAAACAATAAACTTCCTGGACTTAGCAACTACGTGTGCTCAAATTATGGCCAGTAATACAGAAATGGAAATGCTGTATCCTTAAGGAAGGAACTTGACTGGAGGTATAACTCTTATCTCTGTTCTTTTCCTCTGTCCTTTATCTGGCCATGGTTACAGCAGCTCAAGGTAGATCATGGAAGCCCTCTCCATGATGAGGATGACAGAACAGGAAGATAGAAAGAATCCTGAATCACCAAAAATTATGACACTGTCATTGTATACCATGGACTTCTTTTACCTGAGAGGAATAAAAGGTGACCTTTAAGCATTATAGCCACAGTTTCTTTAGAAGTTTTGTTCAACAAAATCTAACTGAACGGTGATTTGGGATCTTTATTGGTGGTACTGAGAATTGAACCCAGGCCCTTATGCATACTAAGAAAGTGCTCTACCACTGGGCCACATCACCGGCTCTTTAAACAGTAACCATTAAAAAATATAGAGCTGAGGGCTGGGGATGTAGCTCAGCAGCACAGCACCTGCCTAGCAAGCAAGAGGTCCTGGGTTTGATTCCTGGTAACAAAAAAATCAAAGTGGAGCCGGGCATAGTGACGAACGCCTGAAATCCCAGCACTTGGGAGGCTGAGGCAGGAGGATCGCTGTAAATTCGAGACCAGCCTAGGCTACATAGTGGGTTCCAGGTAAGTCTCAACTACATAGTGAGAGCCTGTCTCAAAAAACAAAAAAAAAAAATCAAACTGGTAAAAAAAAAACCAAAGAGAGAGAGCTGGGTGTGGTGGCGTACTATAATCCCAGCAATCAGGAGGTTGAGGCAGGAGGATCACTGTGAGTTTGAGGCCAGCCTGAGCTACATAGTAAGTTCAGGGCCACTCTGAACTACGAAGGGAGACCCTGCCTCAAAACAACAACAAAAAATGCTAGGGATTTAGCTCAATGGTTCCATCACCTGCCTCAGAAGAGCAAGGGCCCAAGTTCAATCCCCGGTGCCAAAATATATTTGTGTGTGTGTGTGTGTGTGTGTGTGTGTGTGTAGCCAGACATGGTGGCATATGCTTGTAATCCCAGCACTTGGGAGGCTGATTTCAAGGCCAGACTGAATTACATAGGGAGACCATGTCTCAAAAAAAAATAGTAGTTGAAATATAATTCAAATATCACACTTCACTTAAAATCCTTGAATGGCCGGGCATGATGACACACGCTTGTAATCCCAGCACTCAGGAGGCTGAGGCAGGAGGATTGCTGTGAGTTCAAGACCAGCCTGGGCTACATAGTGAGTTCCAGGTCAGTCTCAACTACATAGTGAGAACCTGTCTCAAAAAAAAAATTCCTTGAATGGATTGGGGGGTGGTTGTTTGTTTTGTTTTTTTGAGACAGGGTCTCACTTTGTAACACAGGCTAGCCTCAAACTCACAGCCACCCTTCCACCTCAGCCCTCTTCTCCAGTGCTGGGATTTATAGGTGTGTGCCACCATCCCCAGCAATCTGTCTTTAAATAAATCCTAACTGAACTGGCTAGAACCTGAATACTAGAACCCATCTATACCTTGCCAACATTCTCCCCCATCACTTGCCTCCACCACTGTTTCCTGTGCCTGGAATGAATCTTCCTCACAAAATTTATACACTGGCTAAGTCTCACCTCTCATTGGGAAGACTTCTCCGCCCACGTTTGTAAAGGTCTTCCTGTTACTTTCTACCACAATTCTCAATGTCTCTTAGAATTTTAAATTTATTTCATTTGTTTACCAAGGATATCATTTCCAGTCCCTCTCATGATCCAATTAATTTCCTTCAAGTTTTCACCATAATCTATGATTACCACATTTACTGACTTGGTGACTAGGAAAATCTGTCCCCATTTGGGTTCTGATGATCATGGATCCTTAGTGCCAGAGAATGGTGGCTGGCACATGCTAAGTGCTCTGACATTATTTGTTTAGTGGATAAATGAATGAGGTTGAAGAGGTGAGCACATGTCAAATCATCATGACTTTTGTAAGGCATGCTTAAGATTTCCAGACATTTTAGAAAATTAAGGTCACTATAAAATACCAATCTGTGCCCTTAAAATTGCAAAAACCTTAAAAATCTAATGCTGGTATTGGGGAACATGAAAAACAAAAGGAGATTTTATAGAGCCAGAGATTTAGCTTAGTGGTGCTGCCCCCTGTGTCATAAGCACAAGGTCCTAAGTTTGATCCCTGGCACCAAAAAACAAAACAAAACAAAAAGGAAATTATAAACTTCTGGAACATAAATGGGTCCAAGCCAGACCTGGTACAGGACTATAATTTCAGCATTCTTGGAGGCCAAGGCAGGAGGATTACAAATTCCACCCTAGCCTAGGCAAATGGGCAACTTAGCAAGACTTTCTCAAAATACATATATATAGGGCCAGGGATTTAGCTCAGTGGTTCTGCCACTTGCCTTGTTAGCACAAGGTTTGATCCCTGAGTTCGATCCCTGGTACCAAAAAACAAAACAAACAAACAAACAAAAAAAAATACATATATACATACATACATGGGCTGCAGGTGCAGTTCAATGAAGAGATCCTGGGTTCAAGCCCCAGCACTAAACAAATAAATAACTGGTTCAAGCCGGGCATAGTGACGCACACCTGTAATCCCAGCACTCAGGAGGCTGAGGCAGGAGGATCACTGTGTTCGAGACCAGCCTGGGCTACATAGTGAGTTCCAGGTACACAGTGAGACTCTGTCTCATAAATAAATAAATAAATTAATTAATTAATTAAAATAAAGCATTCAGTAAAAAAGACTACACACATTTTTATTCCATTTTAACAAAGTTCAAAACTAAGTGAAGCAATATGTATCCTCTTTGGGGAAAAGCATGTAGCAACAGGAAATTACAAAAATGAAATTCAGGTAGTAGTTATCTCTAAGGACATTGATTCTCAACCTAGGGTGATTCTGCCTTGCAGAAGATCTGATAATGTCTGGAGATGTTTCTGGGTGTCATGACTTGCAGGGTGGGAGTTAAGAGAATAAAACTGCATCTAGTGAGTAGAGGCCAAGGATGCTGCTAAACATCTCACAATGCACCAAACAGCACCCCCCCAGCATTATCGGCATTTTGGGCCAAATAATTCTTGGTTCCGGAAGCCTGTCTTGCACACATAACATAGTCAGCAGCATTCTCACTGGATGCCACTGGTACAACCTCTTGGTTGTGAAAACCAGAAATGTCTCTAAACCTTGCCAAAAGACTCCCAAGGAACTGATACCACCCTTAGTTAAGAACCACTGCTCTGGGCCGGGGGATTTAGCTCAGTGGTTCCACCGCCTGCCTTGCAAGCACAAGGACCCGAGTTTGATCCCTCGTACCAAAAAAAAAAGAACCACTGCTCTTGGGGGAGGAAGGGAGATGAGAAGAAGGAAAGGTAGACCGTTTCACCAGCATAAGTAACATTCACAGCTGCTCGATTTGGATTTTTCCAACCACAACAGAAAGCCAAAGATGGGGATTCCTTCGCAAAGGTCTCCTTTCATATTTCTAATACAATCTTCCACTGAGATTAACTTTTGCTGTGTATCAGTGGGCACAGCATAGTGCAGAGTTAGGTATTAAACAGATGTATTTGAAAGAAGAAAACAAAGATCAATCCCAACCCAGAGAGATTCAAATATAAAACATCAGGTTTGCAGAGAACTCTGACTCCAGTTCCACCTGGGCAAACAGTAGCAATCATGAGATATTCGTGTGTTCTGTTTTGTTTCAATTTCAGGCTTTAGATATAATGGTAGACAAAAAAAAAAAAAAATGTGTAAGTCTTACCCTGGTGTCTTCACTGATATAACCACACATGACCTTCTCATTCTTGACCCACAGTTCACCAGCCTGTGCCCTGAATGAATACACACACATATACACATTATTATACTCTCTATTAGCCCAACTTTAGATGACTCGTGCTACTCATATTTATACCCAAATGACCCAATGGGTCAGATTTCTACAGGCAGCTATATGAACACATTTAACAAAGAATTCTCATCATATACTGAATATGTAGAATAGACACTCAATATGAGGGATTCCAAAGATCATACACAAGGCTCAGGAAGAGAGGGCTTCAAGGAATCCATGACTCTGAAATAATATGCAGAAGTATCTCGGCAGTGAATCTAACAGCTCTGGTCAAATCTCAAAAAGATCCATGTCACATAAAAACTTAAGGAGCAGTGCTGAACAATTTTGCTAATCATAGCTTTGATACAATGAGTTTCAGTGGAGACAAAACTCCATCTTAATACCAAGATTTGAACATAAGCAGTCAGGAGTCATGAAGGGACAGGGTCCATATTTAACAGAGGTCATTCTGCTGAACAACTCTTACTTTGCTTTTTTTTTTGAGATAGTGTCTCACTATGTAGTTGAGACTGACCTAGAATTCACTGTGTAGCCCAGGCTGGTCTCGAACTCACAGCGATCCTCCTGCCTCACCCTCCCGAGTGCTGGGATTAAAGGCAGGCACCACCACACCTGGCTTTCTGCCGAGCAACTTCGCACTCTAAAACTTTTTGAGGGTGTGGAGGAGAAAGTATAGAGCTCAATGGCCTGGGAAGAAATGAGTTAAGGTGAACTCGCAGCTCTGAGTGTCACTAGTTGAATGGCCATGGGGATGTAACTATGGAAGAGTGGGTGTCTTTAGTTTTGAAAAGGAGACAACGATATCCATCTTACAGAGATTCCTTGAGAATTAAACTATACAATGTGAGAAAACTGTTCAGGATACCACTAGGATCGGAAGTGCTCAATTGAGAATACTAGTGGCTTGGGGCCCGAGATTTAGCTCAGTGGTACCACGCCTGCCTCACAAGTGGAAGGTCCTGAGTTCGATCCCTGGTACAAAAAAAAAAAAAAAAGAATACTAGTGGTCATTTCTAATCTGTAAGAACTCAACAACAGTGATATTACCACAAAATGCTATTTTGGAAAGTAGTAGCTGTTACTCGAGGACCTGTGATCATCCTTCAACCAATCACTGTAGACCTCCTCTTCTAACATCAATTTCTCCAATGCAATTACCTATCCAGCCTAAGCAATCATTCCTTAGGTGGGAGGGGGAGAGAGAGGGGGGAGGGGGAGAGAGGAGATAAAGAAAAAAACATGCCTTGACCTGTGCCTGCTCCTAGCACTTCAATAAAACCAAGTTGGGATCCATGAAAAAAAAAAGGAAAAACAAAATTAACTGGAGCTTGAGGGCGTAACTCAGTGGTACAGCACACGTTTAGCATGTGCAAGGCCTTGGGTTCAATCCCTAGTGGGGGTTTAGGGGGTTAAAAAAAAAGCCAAGAAAACTGTATCATGAGCCACAGTTCCAGCTACCTGGGAAAGTTTGTATACTCCATCAATCTCTATGGGCTTCCATCCTGTCTACAAAATGAATGAAGTTGTACCAGATCCATGGTTTTCAATTGTTTTTCAGGATTCCATTCTCTACTCTCACTAAGAGATGCCTCTTGATGTTCCTGTGTGCAACCATGCTGTGAATGGGCAAGAACTGCTAGTCTGACCAGAGAAGGGACTGTTCACTTAACTTTATAGGTTAAGCACCCCTGATCCAAAAATCCAAAAACTAACTTTGTTGTTGTTGCTGCTCTAGTAGTAGGGATTAAATGCAGGCACTCACACATGCTAAGCACTCTATCACTGAGCTAAGCTACCCTCCGAAAACCTCAAGATTTTTTGAGCACCAACATGATACAACAAGTGGAAAAGTGCAGCTGACCTCCTGTGATGGGCCACTGTCAAAACACAGGCATACTACACTTATGTATAAAAATTACCTTCAGGCTATGTGTATAAAGTACATATGAAATACAAACGAATTTCATGTTTATAGTTGGATCCCATATGCAAATATTCCAAGATCTTAAAAAAAACAACTGAGATCTGAAATATTTCTGGTCCCCAGCTTTTCTTGTTTCTGTTTTTTGAGTCAGGGTCTTGCTTCGTACTTTAGGCTTGCCTTGAACTCAGTGCTTGATCAACCACACCTAGCTCCTCAGCATTTTAGATTAAGGATACTCAATCTGTGTAATGAGGGTTTCAGTGTTCCCCTTTACCAGGAATACTGGCAGCAGGAAGCACTCCAAACACAAGCTATGGAACACATTAACACAATGCACTAACTCACCAATGGCTCCTAGTCTGCATATGCAAAGTGGTATTAACAAAATTTGAGCTTAAGACTCCTAAACCTCCTTGTTAGAGGACAAGTTATAATCTTTCTATACCTCAGTTTTGTGTTTTTGTTTGCTTGAGACAGGATCTGGCCTCAAAGTTGAGGCAATCCTCCTGCCTCAGTCTCCCAAGTGCTGGGATTACAGGTATGTGCCTGGTTACACCTCAATTTTTAAAATTAAGTAGATGTGTTTAAAGAGATTCTTACCTCATCTCTCTTCTAGAGCCCTTCATGATCCTAGCTCAGTGGTAGAACACTTACCTAGCATGTACAAGGCCCTGGGTTCAATACGACAAAAAAGGATGATGGAAGCCTTTCTCACTTTTCACTGAAATAGACACTACGGCTTGAGGGTCAGGAGATTGAGCCCATAGTCTTTACAATGAGTTACATTCCTAGTCATTCATTCATTCATTCATTCTACTTGAGACAGGGTCTCACTAAATTGCTAGACTCAAACTTACAGTCCTCTTTTCTCAGTCTCCAAGAGTGCTAGGATTACATGTGTATGCTACCACGCCCAGCTAGAAATAATTTCAACAGATGAAGGCAGAGGAAGCCAGATGTGATGGCATATGCCTATAATCCCAGCACTCTGGAAGGCCAAGGTAGAAGGATCAAAACTTCAAGCCTAGCCTGGGCAATTTAGTGACTTAGCAAGACTTGTCTCAAAATAAAAAGAGCTGAGAATGAAGCTTAGTGCAAATGCCTTGTGTTTAATCTCCAGGACTGCCAAAAAAAGAAAAAAAAAAGGTAGCAAATCAATAGTTAACAAGGCAATAAGTCAGGAGTTACTGTGTTGATCATCTTATATCTCTAAGCTTGTTTTCTAATCTGCAAAATGAGAAAGCTTAAAAAAAAAAAACAAAATGAGAAAGCTTGATTAAATACGTTCATCTAAGCACAGGCACAGTGGTGAGTATCTGTAATTCCAGTTACCTGGGAGGTCGAGGCAGCAAGACTGCAACCTAGAGGCCTGAGCAAGTTGCCTGGGCAGTTTACCAAGCCAGCAATTCACAAACTAAAAAAAATTTCACTGAAAGTTTTCATATAGTTCTAAAATATTTGAGTCCATGCTTCCTGTATGACAAAATACTAAGTGACTTCACTGACTTCTTCCATTAGTCTAGAAAATACTATCGTGCAATTTGGTTTTTCTTTGTGCTACAACATTCTATAATATTTTTGGTTTGGGTTTCTATTTGTTTGTTTATTTGCAGAGAGGGGGTGTTTGAGGCAGTACCTTTGTAGTTCAGGCTAGCGCTGAACTCACTATGTAGCCCAGGTTGGCCTCAAACTCACAGCAATCCTGGATCAACAATATAATGTTTTAAGCTCTTGTGATTTTGTTATATAGATATTCAAGCCTCAAATGCCTTTTAGAGGGCCGGGGATTTAGCTCAGTGCCACTGTGCCTGTCTCACAACCATAAGATCCTGAGTTTAATCCCTGGTACAAAAAAGTCTTATGGAGCCCAGTCCTTGCACTAGATCCTACTTCTATTTTTTATCTGATAGGACCAGGGATTTAGCTCAGTGGCCCTGTGCCTGCCTCGCAAATGCAAAGTCCTGAGTTTGATCCCTGGTACTGGGAGGAAAAAAAGATACACAAGCTATTTACTAGCGAGTTCAATCCCTGGTACCTGGGGGGTGGGGGTACACAAGCTATTTAATAGCTGAGAAGTCAAGAACAATATATTACTTACCTAATACCAGCAAATTCCACCTTTTGAGTGATATAGGCACATGTGCTGACCTAAGAAAAGAGATATGTACATTCAATTTGTCAAAGCCATGAAAAGGCACAAACAAGGTCTCTTTCTAATCTAACAACCCAATATTCAATCAGCACAGGAGTGATAGCTTTACCTCAAAGGAAAACTTGCTGAGGCAGGTGTAATAATAGGTGTTTAAGGATTTGGCAAGTGTAGACAACAGGAAAGACCAGGTGGACAATAAACAGCTAGCGTGACAAATACACTTACCTTCATATAAATGTACTTATTTAAATGCAGTACAGTTTATCTCTCACATTTTTTTTTCTTTTGTGACAAGGTCTTGCTGTGTTGCCCCAGCTGGCCACTAATTCCTGGCTTAAGCAATCTTTCTGTTCTTAGCCTCCCTGGTAGCTGAGACTACAGAAGTGGACCACCATACCTTTTTTTTTTTTTTTTTTGCAGTGCTAGAGATTGAATCCAGGGGCCTCAAGCATGCAATGCAAACACTATCACTGGGCAGCACCACAGCCTAAGACAATATTTTTTTTCTAAAACTATGCATCAGGGCTGGGGATTAAGCTCAGTGGTTCTGCCTCCTGCCTCGCAAATGCAAGGTCCTGAGTTCGATCCCCAGTACCAAAAAAAGAAAGAAAAATATGCATTATGTGGAAATTCTACCTATAATTTGTTTCCCAATATGCAAAGCTCTAATGAGGAGAGTTTTCAGTACCAGTTCACATTTCTGGTAAACTAAGTAGAAAATATTAATTAAAAATAAATAAATAGGGCAGAGCGTGATGGTGCATGCCTGTAATACCAGCACTTGGGAGGCTGAGGCAGGAGGATCGCTGTGAGTTCGAGACCATCCTGGGCTGCATAGTGAGTTCCAGGTCAGTCTCAACTACACAGTGAGACCCTGTCTCAAAATAAATAAATACATAAATACATAAATAGCTCAGTGATAGAGTACTTGCCTGGGGTATACAAGGACGTGAGTTTGATCCTCAGCACCCAACACCAAAAATAAGTAAGTAATGAAAACAGAAAGAAGGTACTGCAAAAAGCAGGCTCATCCAGAAGCTGCAAGACCTGGGTTCTAGCCCAGTGTCATCTGCCTACCAGCTATCTAGACTTGGACCATCTCTTATTCTCTCACTCTGTTTTCACATCTTCAAATTGGGAACAAAAATATTAGTCTGTGAGGAGAAGCTGTGAGGAGCTAATATCAAATGACAATCTGAAAACTAAAGTCCCATTCAATTATACAATAAAAGTAAGATTTCCCATTCAAATCTAAAATGTAAGATCTATAACAAAAACAAAGCTCAAGAACAACTGGGAAAAGGATGGAAGAGGATACAATAAGATGCTTACGATAACAGTCTGCAGGGAGAAGGGGAGGAGAGAAGGGGATGTAAAAAGAATTAAGATGGGGAGGGCTGGGGATTTAGCTCAGTGGTTCCACTGCCTGCCTCGTAAGCTCAAGGTCCCGAGTTCGATCCCCGGTACCAAAAAAATAGAATTAAGATGTGTCGAATACATGTACTAACTATCCACAATGAATGTATTTATTATCTACTCAAACATGTACTAATTAAAAAAAAAAAGAAAGAAATAAAAACATACTCAGTGAAAGTGAACTGGTCAAAAATTTTTTTAAAACTTGCTTACAGATGCTGGAATCAGAAATGATTTCATACTCTTCTCCTCATTAGATCTTATGAGCTTCTTGATGATAAAGATTATTCATATAATGGAAAAAGTAACAAACTTTTTTATTTTTAATCACATCTTACCAAACTCTTCTTTAGTCGCCACATATCTCCACGGCCAATATACTGATCCTTAAAAGTTAGTTCCACTAGGTCAAGGGTCACATCCTAAAAGGGATAATCAAACACATCTCTCTATACCATTGTGTCATACTTTATAGACATAAGATAATGTCCATCCAACATAGAAAAAATACAAACTGTTTGTCGTGGTGCACACCTGGAGTTCCAAAACTTGGGAGGCTGAGGCAGGAGGACTGCCACAAGTTCAAGGCTAGCCTGGGCTACACAGTGAGTTCAAGACCAGACTGAACTACATAGTGAGACTCTGTTTCAAAGAGCCAAAAAACAAAAACTGCTTGTAAAACAAATACTGGAGGCTGGGGATTTAGCTCAGTGGTTCCACTGCCTGCCTTGCAAGCACAAGGACCCAAGTTCGATCCCTTGCACCAAAAACCAAAAAAATAACTACTGGAATTGCCAGGTGTGACAGTACATGCCAGTAATCCTAACACTCTGGGAGGCTGAGGCAAGAAGACCAAGAGTTCAAGCCTCACCTGGGCATAGCAAGTTAGAGACCCTGTCTCAAAATAAACAATTAAAAAAAAAAAAGCTCTAAGGATGTAGTTCAATGTGAAGGCCCTGGGTTTAATACCCATTGCTTAACAAACAGAATTTTATCCTCCCAAGGTAGCCTGAAAGCCTAGCATGGTGGCCTGTAATCCTAGCATTCAGCAGTCTGAGGCAAAAGGAATGAGAGTTTGAGGCCAGCCTGAGCTATATCACAAGCTGAAGGGCCACTAGAGCAAGACAACATCTCAAAACAAAATAAAACACCAATGAATGTTTTGCTATTAAAAAAAAACCAATAAAACAATGAAACAATAATAGGATTCAAAACAAAACCCAACCAAAAGCCTTGCAAGTAAGGACGGTAAGTATACAATAGATCCCACAGCAGTGTATCAAATGAAGTGCAGAAAACCAGAGTACTTATATTGTATTTCTGTGATTTAGTCTTTTTTTCGGGGGGGAGGCTTCTATGTGTTGCCCAAACTGGCCTTAAAACTTCTAGGTTCAGCCAGGTGTGGTGGCTTACACCTATAATCCCAGAATTTGGGAGGCCAAGGCATGAGGACTGCCATGAGTTCAAGGCCAACCTGGACTTCATAGTGAGGTCCAGGCCAGCCTGCACTACAAAGCAAGACCCTGCCCCAAAAAAAACAAAAAACAAAACCCTCCCAGATTCAAGCCATTCTTCGGCCTCACTCTTCTAAGCAGCTGGGACTACAGTACCTATCACTGTGCCCTTGTTTTGGTCTTGACTGTGGCAGCTGAATTTAAGTGCATTATATTTTCCAAGATAATATAAATAATACCTTCTGGACAATAATTTTTGTTTATTATAGTACACTTAATAAAAAAAGGAATACATTAAAAAAATTAGTAATTTAATTGAAAATTATAAAGTTTCATAATCAGAATCTTATGAGGACAAATTAATAACAAAAGGGAGGGGAGTTAAATGCAACCCACACACCACCTATAATCTAAATAACCAAATATGACCATTATTAATAGTCTACCACTATGCTTAAGTAACTCGTCATTTCCTTAACAACTTCCCATTTAGGAAGGGTGCTAATCATTCCAAAAGAATATTCAAATCCAGAACAAAGACATACCTTAGGGTCCACAACATTCACATAGACATCTTGATAAGGTCTTAGCCGGAACACTTGTGTTACTGTCTGGTCCACACTGATAGTTTCTGAAACAGAAAAACATGTGAATCAGATAGCACATTTTGAAAAAGCAGGTAGAGCTGGCATGCAGGTGCATATCTGTAATCCCAGTAGTCTGGAAGGCTGAGGCAAGAGAATCACAAGTTTGAGCCTAGCCTGGGCAACTTGGTGACTTAGCAAGATCCTATCTCAAAATTTTAAAAAAGCTGGGAATATAGTTCAGTGTGAAGGCCAAGTTTAATCCACAGCACCTTAAGTAAAATAAAAATGAGAAAAAAGTGAATATATTCTAATCTATAAAAATGTAGACATTGGGGCCAGGGATTTAGCTCAGTGGCACCACATCTGCCTCAAAAGCACAAGATCCTGAGTTCGATCCCCAGTACCAGGGGAAAAAACATTATACAGGCAAAACAACTAATCATTTGTCGTGGGAAAGACATGTTTTATTTCTTCCAAAAGTTTAAAATTTAAACAGTTATCTGCTTTTTCTCCAGGATGTTTTTTTATCTTGCTTTTTCCTCTTTTACTAGGCCTGAGCTTGCTCTCTTACTCTTTACTCTTTTTCAATTTTACTTTGCCACTGTTGAAAGACAGACAGATAGACACAAAGACTGACTGACTGGAGGTTTAGCTCAGTGGCACCAGCACCTGCCTGGCAAGCGCAAGGTTATGAGTTCGATTTCTGGTTCCAAAAAAAAGAAAGAAAGAAAGAAAGAAAGGCTGAGATGTAGAAATTATATGTGTGAGTTTAATCCCTAGCACTCAAAAAAGGGCCAGGGATTTAGCTCAGTGGCACCGCGCCTGCCTCACAAGTTCAAGGTCCTGAGTTCAACCCCTGGTAACAAAGGAAAAAAAAAGATAGATGAGGGAGGGACATAAAAAAATTCAGACTTGCAAAAATTCAGAAGAGATTTTTTTCTTATTTGGAACAAGATATATCAGTAGTAGTCTAGTTAATTAGAAATATAACCAAAGGCAAGAGATGGGGTAAGGGTATGGAGGACACACTTAGGATTTGAGTTTTACACAATATTTTTCCATTTCCACCTGAAATACTGAGTGATTGAATATGAATAGTTGTAGAATTTTTTTTCTCTAAAGTACTACTTAAGAAATTATCTTGGGCCAGGGATTTAGCTCAGTGGTTCCGCTGCCTGCCTCACAAGCACAAGGACCTGAGTTCAATCCTGGGTACCAAAAAACAGAAATTATCTTATTTACTATCAATTAATATCCAAGCCGGGGGTGGTGGTGCATGCCTATAATCCCAGCACTCAGGAGGATGAGGCAGGAGGATCACTGTGAGGTCGAGACCAGCCTGGGCTACATAGTGAGTTCCAGGTCAGTCTCAACTACATAGTGAGACCCTGTGTCAAAAAACGAAAAACAGGGGCTGGGGATTTAGCTCAGCAGTTCGGTGGCCTGCCTTGCAAGCACAAGGACCCGAGTTCAATCCCCCATACCAAAAAAAAAAAAAAAAAACAGCAAACAAACAAACAAAAATATATATAAAAGGGGCCAGGGATTTAGCTCAGTGGTTCCACCATCTGCCTCACAAGCACAAGGACCCAAGTTCGATCCCCAGTACCAAAAAAAAAAGTTTTGTGCAAAAAAAAAAACTTAAAATTATGAAGTTTTTATAGTTTCTGAGATAGTAAATATAAAAATCTCAGATAAGAGAGATGTAATCCGTACCTTTCTGTAAGTCTTCTTTAAGTGACTTGACTTGTAAAAGCAGAGGGCTGGAATACAAAGCAACAAAGATGTAGGGTGAGGTAAGTCCTCAGCTCACTCCCCCTAAAAAAAGGCGAACAGATCCCTCGGGACATATTATAACCAATAGCACAATAACGGAAGACTGCTACTACTGCACTTGCAAGAGAAACAGGTAAATGGAACAGAACTTTTCAGTTATCATTTCAGCTTTAAAAAATAACGGAAGGCTAGGGAGTTAGCTTAGTTGGCACCGGCCTGCCTCACAAGGGCAAGCTGAGTTCGATCCCCAGTACTAAAAAAAAATAAAGTTGAGCTGCAGTACAGCACACCTGTAATTCCAACACTGAGAAAGCTGAGACAGGAAGACTGCAAGTTTGAGGCCAGCCTGAGCTACATAGCAAGCTCAAGGCCAGTCCGGCCTGCGTAGCAAAAAGCTGTCACAAAAAGAACAAACAGAAAGGAAGACAGGGAGGAGGGAAAAGTGGGAGGGTGGGCAACCTTTAAAAAAACTATTAGTTTACTTAATCTCAAAGGGCATAAGCATTTTTAAAGGCAAAAAGTTATCTTGCTCTTTAAGCCCCTTAAGATAAAAATATCATTTGGAAACAGCAAGCTATCCAATTCCCTTGATCTTAATTAAGATGCTCACCTGAGGGCCAGGGATTTAGCTCTGTGGTTCTGGTGCCTGCCTCGAAAGCTCAAGGACCCGAGTTTGATCCCCAGTACCAAAAAAAAAAAGTAAAAAAAATAATAACATGCTCACCTGTACTCATCATTGGGGTGAGCAATCTCCACAATGTCTCCAAGCTTGATGTGAGGAAACACTTTAGGGTTCACAACTAGCTCATCATCTGAAAGGCAAATCAGTGACCTCAAGTAAAAAAACACTACTCTGCGGGAGAGTGTGTGCTCTGCATATGTAACGCACAGGTTTAATCTCCAGCACAACCCACCTCCTCAGAAAAAAAAGTAAAAATATCAAGTAAGAAATACATTCATGTTGTCATAAGGGTGAGTTGATATGCATCAATTATAACCATCAATGCTGATGGGCACAATTCACCAATCAAAAACACATTCATGTGAGTGACAAGTACACTGCGTACCCTATATCACAGATGTGTTTCTGCTTTGTTTTATTTTTGTATTACTGAGACTCCATTTTGAGTTTTTTGTTTTGGAAATTTTTTTCAATGCTGCAAACTGAACCCATAGGAGTACTCTGTCACTGAGCTGTACCCTCAGCCCCTAAGGTTCCATTTTCAAGTTTAGAAGGATGGGAGGATTTTGCACAGGAATCTAGGTACTGAGCTAGTGAATAGCTGAATCAGACAAGGCTCAGAGACCTCTGTCCACAGCTCATGCTCCTTCTACTATCCCACTGAGACCATGAAAAGCAGCCCACGGTTTTGGGGAATGAAGTCTCTAGGATGGGCCTTTATGCCTTCAAATATTGTGGATCTGGCATACATCAGGACCAAAACAGCTTGGCTTTCACAGATACAGCTCAATCAGTATTCAAAGAATTTCCCTAAACACTGTCTTAATGTGACTCTAACAACAGATCTGTGGTGTTAATGGAGTGAAGAAATAAATGGGAAATAAACTGACTTGCCTAAGGGTCAACAGCTAGTAACTATATAGGATTCCTTCTACTTAAAGCTCACCAGCCGGGCTTGGTGGCACACGCCTGTAATCCCAGCACTAGGGAGGCTGAGGCAGGAGAATCACTGTGAGTTCGAGACCAGCCTGGGCTACATAGTGAGTTCCAGGCCAGTCTCAATTCCATAGAGAGACCCTGTCTCAAAAACAAAAAAAAGACTTCATCTACTTAAAACTCACCACCTCACACATGATAAACATCAAGTCACATAAAAAGGCCTGGACTTTGATGGGCAGCATCTGATCATAGAACAACTTCAGGAATTAGTTCACACTAGAGTTCAAAAAGACTGAAAATACAAGGGGTAGGAGCTAGAGGTATAGTTCACTGGCAGAGCACATGCTTAAAAGCACAAAAGACCCTGACTTTAATCCACAGCACCAAACAAACCTCAGAACTGTAAGACAGAATAACTATACTGCTACTTTAGAATGAATTACATCACCTTTAATTATTCTAACACCATGAAAAATAAGTATATCATGTCTTCAATACCCAGCATGGTGGCACATGCCTATAGTCCCAGCACTTGGGAGGCTGATGCAGGATTGATGTGAGTTCAAGGCCAGCCGGAGCAACACAGTGAGTTCAAGGCCAGCCTACGTTACAAAATGAGACCCTGTCTGGGAAAAAAAAATCAAATATAATCATATTCAACAAAAACTCTAGCTAATAAAGTGAAGCATTGGGTTAATCCTCAATTTTATTCAGAATGTTTCCACTGACCATGTTATGTGTCTCTGTGATGCTTCCTCTATCTAAATTAAGCTCCCTCAGCACATATTTTGCTTAGTTTTATCATTTCCTATTTTCATGTTTGTCTGATTTGTGTGAAAGTTCCTTAGGAATAAGTGGTCTTGTCATAATCATAATCTTTGTGTTTGCCATAGGTATATATTTAATAAATATTTATTGGTTGTTTTTTTTTTTCTTTTGTCATATGGTACTGTACTAGGGATTGAATCCAGAACCTTCACACTGAGCTACATCCCCACCCCTTTTTTATTTTTTGAGACAGGACCTTGCTAAGTCACTAAACTGCCCCAGATTAGGGTCGAAATTGTGATCCTCCTTCCTCAGCTTCCCAGAGTGCTGGGATTGATTACAGGCGCACAACATCATGCCCAGCTTCACTGTTGTTTTTTTTGTTTTGTTTTTTTGCAGTACTGGAGATCAAACTCAGGACCTTGCGCTTACAAGTCAGGTGTGGTACCAGAGCTAAATCCCCAGCCCTTACTGGTTTAAATGTATAGCCTGGGGTATATCATCTAGCTTCGACTGTCCCGTTCACATGACAACATGGACTTGTATATGTTATACATGTGCCATATGCAATATATCCTTGTGTTATTTCCTCTGCCAATGTTTTTAATTTGCTTTATTGGTTTTTGTGAGACAGGGTTTCTGTAGTGCAAGTTGGCCTTGAACTCACCATGTAGCCCAGGCTGGCCTGAAACTCACAGGGATTCTCCTTCCTGAGTTGTGGGGGTTATAGGCATGTGCCACCATGCCTGATTCCTCTATCACAGTTATTTCTTTTCTCTTTTGTGTGTGTGTGTGTGTGTGGTACTAAGGATCGAACTCAGGACCTTTGCTTGCAAGGCAGATGCAGTACCACTGAGCTAAATCCCTGGCCCTGACACAGTTATTTGTTCTCTGTTCAATAATTATCTATTATTCCACACAGATGTTTAGACAACATCAATAGCACACAAAACACAGTGTAAACAACACTGTGATTTAGCAGTTGTTTTTTTTGATATCGCCATGCTCGGTAAATCTTTAGCCTGATAATTATGATGGCTTCATTTACTGAACCTGCTAAATGCTTTTACATTGTTATTTTATAGGAGCCTCAGAACATCCTATGATTTAGAAACTATCTTCCTTTTTTATTTGTATGGGTTTTTTTTTTTTCCTTGCATTTTCTGAGTCAAGGTCTTGCTACTACTAGGTTGGACTCAAACTTATGCTAGAATTACAGACATGTGCCACTATACCCGGCTTATTTTCTCTTTTGACAATCCCTGCCCTGCAATGGCTTTACGCATATATAACACAGAAGTAAATGCATAATAAAATACAAATTAAGGGCTTGGGATGTACCTCAGTGGTAGGGAGCAAGCTTGAGGCCCCAAGTTCGATCCTCAGCACTGCAGTAATAAACTAAAAAATATGTTAATTCCAATTTCTGATGTAAATGAGTTTGTTAAAACAAAAGAGGGCCAGAGAAATAGCTCAGTGGTTCCACTGCCTGACTCACAAGCTCAAGGGCCAGAGTTTGATCCCAGTACCAAAAAGGGGGGGGGGGTAGTACAGACAAAAGATGGACAATGTTCCTTAAAAGTTCGAATGCAAATGCTTTCAGAAAAGGCCTATGCTTTCAGAAAAGGCCTGTGCTCTCAAATTCTATTCTCCTTGTTGCTATACCGTAACGTTGCTTCACTCAGTTGCTGTCTAACTTAGATTGTCACACGAGCTGTTGAGCAATTTTCAAGTCTCTGGACACCTCAGAACTTCAACCGACTTGAACAACCCCCCAAAACCAATCAGTACTGACCACTGCCCCCAAATCCTTTTTTGTGGATGACCAGTTTGTAGACCTTTGTTGTTCTCATCTTGTTCTGCAGTTTCCTTCAACTGTTCCAGTCTTGGGATAGAGAAGTCATCTTTTCTCCCTGCCACTGAAACAAACAAAAAAGCTAGAATGTAGAAGTTTCCCCACCTCTGTTTTGATTTTAGGTTAGCGAAGATACGGATGTTGCTCAGCCGCGCCGACAGATGAAAGGCCCAATACTAGGATGAAATCACTCTCCCAATTACAAGAGAGAACAAAGAACCACAGAATCTAGGCACTAAGGAGAATTCCAGCAGGGGTCTAGTCAAACTTCAAAATCAAACAAACAAAAAAAAACTATCTCATCCCTAAAGGGAAGATTTGCAACTGAATGGGGCATTCATTACCTTGTCTCCAGCTACACCAATAAAACACAAATATTACAGCGATCTTAGGAGGCTAATCTTCAATTTGTAGGCAAGGAAAGTGAAAGCCAATACAAGGGACTTTACCAAGGTCACTCAGAAACTTCGAGGCACTCTCACAATTCACGTTTTGCCAAAAATGTCCCGGAAAAAGCCTGTACAAATAGGAGGAGGGCAGAATTTCCTACGCCGAACCTCCATCCGTACCAACTCTCAGCTGACCCTCCGGCCTCCATGTCACCGCTCAGGCTCAGAGAGGGAGCCCGACTTGTGGAAGGTCACAGAGCGGGTTGAAGCCCCGAATCTGGGCCACAGACCCCCTCCTTCAAGCTGCATCCCAAGGCGAGCAGTTCCACTCACCCTCAGCTCCGGAGCCCCTTCCAGCCTCAGGCCAAGGAGTTGAGGGCCAGACCCTGAGGAGGCACCCGGGCCTCCTCCGCACACCCGGCCTGGGCCCCACGGCCCGCGCACGTCTAGACCCTGACTCTGAGAAGCCGGC